TCCCCTGCGGTTTCAATCAGCAGAGAAAAGCAGGGATAAGATGCAGCTTCCTATCCCTGTCTCTCCATACACTGGCCGGCGCTGGTATTGCAGTTCATTTTAAATCTCACACAAAATAGCAGAACAAGCTGAAAAATCCAGGGGGGTGGGGCAAGTGTCCCCCCTTACCCCTCTCTGCGGACGCCCATGTGCTGAAGTAACATCAGGGTTTAGGGATTGATGTAGGGTATTAGTTATACAAGCATGGGGTGGGGGGTGGGTGGGCAAACTATTACCCTAACCTTTTTCCCTCTACCCTCTGTATATACCTTATGTGCAACCTGTCTACATGTGCGGTGTCCTTCTCTACCTCTTTATATACACTAGGGGGCATATGAAATTTAGTGGGACTGTCAGCCTTAGACTCTATGTCTAGGTATATATATTTTATTTTCCCTCTGAATTGTCAAAGACCATTGAATGCTCCCCTCTGAATTCTCCCCTCTGAATTGTCCAAGACCATTGAATGCTTAATGGTACCTTAAACATTAAGACTTATGAGGTTATTTGAGGATACGTGCATCCAAGCTCATAGCATTGTAAATAATAATTAATTAACTTATGTATGTTGTTTGTCATTTTAGTCCTCCTCTTTAATAAAGACTGTTTTAATTTGTATTATTTGCCACCTTCTTTTGGCCCCAATGCCAGCAAATTGTGCATGCTTTGGGCACTCTACCTTTTTTGTTGTAATCAATATCAGGGTTACCCCCTATTGTAGGTGTGGGTCTGTCTTTGTTTCTGACCTACATTTCTACTCAGTGGCGTACATACCAGGGTTGCAGGGGTCGCGGCTGCGACCGGGCCCGGCCCACCAGGGGGCCCGGCCGCCCCTGCGACCCGGTGTGTGCCCACAGAGCCAACCTCTTCCCCTGGGGGGCCCAGGAGCCGGCCACTCCAGGGCCCCCCGAGGCTGGCCCTGTTGACACCCTAGCAGACACACACACTAACACTCACTCTAACACTCACACACACCAACACTCACACTAACACTCACTAGCAGACACACACACACTAACACTCACTCTAACACTCACACACACACTAACACTCACACACACTAACACTCACTCTAACACACACTCAAACACTAACACTAGTTTTTTTTTTTTTTAATGTAATCCCCCCAGCCTCCTTACCTTTTGGATTCCCTGGGGTCCAGTGGTGCTGCTGGGCTCCTGGGCGGGTGGCCGGTCGGGCAGGCAGGCGCGCGCGCGAGGGAGCACTCAGTGCTTCCTCTTCAGCTCCCTCGTGCGCCGCGTAGAGATGCCGGAGCCGGAAGTCATCTTCCGGCTCCGGTATCAGTGTGGTGCGCGAGGGAGCTGAAGAGGAAGCACTGAGTGCTCCCTCGTGCCCCCGCCTGCCTGCCCGACCGGCCACCCGCCTTCCGGGTGTCAACAGGGCCAGCCTCGGGGGGCCGGGCCCGGTCGCAACCGCGACCCCTGCGACCCTGGTATGTACGCCACTGCCCCCAGCACTTCAAAAGGTAAGGAGGCTGGGGGGATTACATTAAAAAAAAAAAATCTAGTGTTAGTGTTTGAGTGTGTGTTAGAGTGAGTGTTAGTGTGTGTGTCTGCTAGTGAGTGTTAGTAGTGTGAGTGTTAGTGTGTGTGAGTGTTAGTGTGTGTGTCTGCTAGTGAGTGTTAGTGTGAGTGTGAGTGTTAGTGTGTGTAGACACTGGCACCTTTTAAAAAAGGATAGAGAATTATCGATAATTATCCCAGAGAAACCTTTTATCACTTTTAGAGGTGCACCTAGTTTAAAGCAGATTTTGACTTTTAACCATCCAAGAAAGGAAGTGCCTGATACGTTTTTAAGTGTGAATAAAAAAGTTTTTTACTCATGTGGAATATGTGTAGGATGTAAATGTAGTAAAAACAATACTAAAAAAGGGATTAGTAAATTTAAGACAAAATATACAACAGAAGAATATACCATTAAGGATTTTATTACTTGTTTTACTAAAAACATTATATACCTTTTAATATGTCCATGCGGACTTCAATATGTGGGCCGAACTATTCGCCCTCTACATAAGAGAATTTATGAACATGTTAATAATATCCGAAAAGGTATAGATCATCATAGTGTGTCCGCTCATTTTTAAAAAATATCATAATAAAGATCCCAGTGGCCTCACATTTTTAGGAATTCAAATTGTTAAAAAACCATGGCGAGGAGGCAATTTTATTCAATATATAGGAAAAGAAGAGATGAAGTGGGTTCATACACTGGATACCCTTGAACCTAAAGGTCTTAATATTGAATTTGATTTGTATAATTTTATTTTATGAATTTTATATTTTAGAGGAATTTTCTATCTGATATTAATTACTTTCCCTTCTCTCCTTCTGCTAGTAGTTGCATTTATATAACTGTATTTATGTATTTTAATGGAGTATTTTTTTGAGATTTTAATATGGTTAAATATATTTAATATATGTAATATGTTTATGACATTCCATTTTTTGTTGAAATATTGATTGGGACATTCATGTACTTTGGCTATTATGTGTACTATTATTCTTTTGTTATATTTCATCTATTTTATACATTGTATGGGACTTCTTTATATAGACATTTAGGGGATCTACCCCGTTTGTATAAGACTTTGGCTATTCATTTGCATATTTTACGCCCACAATATGGGCTTTAAAAGCCAGGACCAGCTGCATCAGGACGTGATCTGAGGAAGCCTTTTTGGGCGAAACGCGTCATCACGGTCACATACGACGTCATCACGTTATCACGTGATCGCACGGAGCTCCGAACCCGGAAGTGCCTTGTATAGTGCCGCAAGCTGCAGAGACCGCGAATTTAGGTGTGTTCATCTTTTCAAAGCATTGAATGGGACACTGGCCTTCTATGTGGCAAAGGGAGTTTTTTTATTGGAAGAAATAAAGATCGTTTTATTCCTGCTGTTTTTACTATCATCAAAGCTCTATGCTGTGGATTACATGCTGGAAAAGTTAGAGCAGACTTTTACTGCTCTTTCCTTGTGAGTTTTATTCCATTTCTCTTGGTTGTTTTATATAATTTTAAACAGTATTATGCTATGTGTTTTTTTTCTTTTTTATGTACCACATCTCCTACTTTGGAATAACCAAATGCAATTTATATTGAGACATATTTTCATGCTGTAAGTTACTATTTGTATTTTTATCACTATTCACTTGCAATTTTGCACATTCGTTATATTGAGTGTGATTTTATTGAATAGACACTTCTTATTGCACGATTTTTGCACTTGTTGCACTTTAAATTTTTGAAGGTACAGCGCACCTTTTTTGTTTTATATTCTTTGTGTGGTGTTTTTGAGCTTGTGCACTTTTAGGTGCTGCTCTACCTTTATTTTTAACACTTGCACTTATATATTCATAATTTTAGCGCCTTTATTGCTTGTTTGTTTTTTAATCTGAGATGATGCTGCATCAACTTAAATCTTATAGAAATTGAGCAAACATTTGGACCAGATTACACAGACATGGTTTCACTGGAATCTTACAGAACTCTCAGAGACTTAAAAAAAAATGTATAGACCAGTCAGTCTCCAAGAGCCTTA